TATCAACCCAAATTTACCTCTCCTTGAGCCTCTGTCCGTGTCGATGGGGTAAAACCGTACAACCACCCTATGATGACCTATTAAAGGTGGCAACAAAGGAGAAACTTTTTTAACAAATTACCGAAATGAACAGCTGAATTCTGGGTAAGTAGTTGCTAACACAAACAACAGCAATATCTCTTCCTCATACTCCAGCAACCACATAGACACTATACACCCTCCCCTTCCCGCTTTCCCTCCTTCGACCCCTGTCCACTTGGCTGGGAGTGTCTCTACTCTGTCCCACAGCCAAAAGAAATATTTGTGGTGATAGGTGAGTGATTGCGCGTGAGTTGAGCTTGTTTAGAGAATCATCGATGTCGATGACTCACTTCAATTTCATTGGCGGTTGAAATCATTCCTGAGTTAAGCAGGCTCACTCATTCTTACACAAAGTCACTTGGTTTGCCTTGTGCTGACAAATGGACGTATCCGCTATCACCTCTCTGCCATTCGTCTTCGTGTTGGTAACTAGCTGTTAACTAGCAATGTTAAAGGTCGTACAAGTGTGAATCTACTGATGCACAACAGCTGTAGAATCATATTGTGCCTGATTACCTATTCGACGTAGCAAGCTGTTAAGACTCCAATGAGGACTCCTGTCACAAAACTCGTCCACGTACATGAAGACACGCCAATATCCCAGGGTAATGCAACAGACCTGAGACAATGGGGTGCTCAAGCATTTACCAAGTGGTTCTGCCTAGCTGTCCTCATATTGCGACTAATTTTAAATCTCCAGTTTGGACCAAAAGAGATCTTGATTGGCAGAGATCAGGTGAGATCACAAGGTACAAAGAAATATTTCGTGGTTATTTAGGGAACCATATTCGAGTCAATGGGATTAAAGTAGGTACACTTTGCACTGCAACTTTTAAAGGGCTATAAAATTCGCAGTTATAAAATATACACAGTCCTGCAGATTCAACCAGTCGGGCTGCCGTTGCCTTGACTGGTTCTTTGGACAAACATGCAATTTTTAAGCGTGTACCGCAGAGGAAAGCAGAGTGACGGCAACCTGAAACCTTTACCTGTGGCAACCGCATTTGGCAGTGTGGTTGCATCACTTCCGAACGTGGACTGATATTTGATATGCGCAGTAAAACAACAACAACGAAATCGGACGATAAACTAAAATGACAATAAATGAAAACAATTTAAGCATTGAGACACAATTGAGGCTTACAATTTTCAATCTCAACAAATATCTTCTCCGAGGATTTGAACATTACGATCTTCCTACTGAGTCACTAACAGTAGCCCCAACATCGCACCACGCACAGATGGATTGGTAAGCTATGTTTCTTGGCTGCGTTGTCAACGTGGCTTGACATCAGCACGCAAAGTACGATGTAATTTGCCATTGTTTGACTGTTTAAATTAGGGCAATCAATATGAAATTAACCGTTTTCATTTTGGCTTACACCTAAAGTAAAGCTGTGGCTTTGCCAAAATGTGGAATAGACATCATAAAACTGAGCAGAAGCTAAAAACAACGCATCCGTTAATGAATAAATGTCAGTTGTGATTATTTAAGCCGAACGTTTCGGCGAAAATATTTGCGACTACTTTTTCCTCAGGAAAAATTTTGACATTTATAAACCATTTCAGAAGTTGACATGCAAATGTCTGAAATCTTCCCTTCTATCCGAAATAAGTTGATGTTTCTGACAGTTAGGAACACATACACAAAATCGACTTAACACTGCTTATTTTGCTTTGAGCATATAGAGATTTTCAAGCGCGTGCACCTGCATTGCGACCAATAAAGACAATGGCATAAATGATTCTGAATTCCCCTATTCCAAACAATTTTATCAAAGCGAAAATTGTACATATAAACCAACGTGCTGCTGGAATTTGCCTTTCGTCTGCATCTTGGGACAGTGTATCTACCGTCTGCAAGCAAATCGTAATTAAAATCGAATACAAATGACTAATCGAGTCAGACAATGCCTTGGAGTAAAGTTGCGTGACACCGGGGATATTCGGTGAATCATATGTTACAATTCATCGACTTAAACTTTGAGCAATTTAGCGGACCTAGATGCTGTCTTTTTCTCCAACAAAACGAGTGAAAACGCAGTTCGAGGGAGTGCGCTGACATGCACTCTTCTCAACAAAGTCCATTCCTTATTTGTGTTTTCCAGTGGGTGTGATGGGGAGACGACCGCTACTTTGTGAACGGGGGCATACCAGTTACGGCAATGACTTTATGCAATGGTGTTTCCTAGAACGAAAAGTTAATTACTGACCACGTCTTCACCGAAGTCCTGCATATTCAATGTCTCTGAATTAATTATTGAATTATTGTCATTCTGGTTACAATAGACGAGTTGCTGATGTGAAATTCAGCACGGCAATTTTAATAACTACTTTTCATGAATGCGTTAAACAGTTCTGTGTACAGACTTGACCTTAGCTGTTGCAGTTCATTTAATCTAATTTGATTTTGTTGTATTTTTGTTGTACCACACAGCTTTTTCTTTGAAATCCAAAATATTCTTTTGAGATGCATGATTCCACCTGGTTTGTTGACGATCTTACAACATGCAAGATTGGGAAGTCGTTTCTGCTACTTTGATGTTAGCCATTTAAATTTCAATTCTTACTCAATAATGTGCTTTGTTGTATTGTTTATGCAAAGGCTTTAATGCCTGCTGAATTAATGGAGAAATTTGATTTCTGTTATGACAACAAAAGTGGTATATTTGAATAAACAGGCGCATTATGCAAACAATGGTGGTGCTGGTGGCCCTGGCATGTGCTTTTGAACCACACCGGGACCACTGCATTAAATCTAGTCCGACCACGCTAACCTGACACCAGAGAAAGTGGAAAGACCAAAGAGAGACACAACCGTTCAACAGATCGCCCAACCATATCAAGCTGTTCGTGTGCATGCATCAAACCTTGTGCATGACATATCCTCTCTGCGTGAACTAGCAAAAGTACAAATGTCTGAATGACCAGATAGATAAAGTGCGCGTGGATGGTTCATTCTAAAGAGTTGAATGAGCAGGCAGTATGACGTGACTTATTTACAATCTAGACTTGTGTCTGAGACTGTTACCACCAGGTTATTGGACGGAAAATTAACAAGAATCACTGCATTGGTATCAGTGCTTACGCAGGTGTTTATAGAAAGACTCAGTACATAATGTTGCAAACACTTTAGAGTACCATTAACACTAATTCACACACCATATCAATCCACAATTAAATTTGTGATAAAAAAAATTAGCTACCTCGTAATTAATTTAGCGGAGTTTTCAGAATGTTTTGATAAATTCCTAACATAATTGGCGGAATTTATTAAACGAGCAGAACTGATCATGCTCAGGGAATCGGGTACTCGTGAGGCTTAGTGGCAGAAGAATGTCAGTGTTTCAATCATCACACTTTATCTGGTGCCATTGCCTAGCAACAGTACCGATGTAATGTGATCAAAAAGTGCGACAATTTCAATTGATTAACCAATACTGCGATTTAGCGTTCTCAATTTAGACAACCACTTAAAATTGTCAGGTGTGAGTTTAGTTGACCAGAGTGCGTCATCAAACATGGGAGGATTTCAACGCTCCTCTATTTACAAAGTACGAGCCACGTTCGCAGCAAATTATACAAAGAGACAAAGTTATATAAAGAGTCAATGGCACAATCGGAAATTACACCGAGACTGACGTAAATCCACCACGCAAAAGTTTTCGTTCACGCTTCCGAGTGTCCAGCACAGGGAAGTGAGCATCGCCATTCCCTTATTGACCTACTTGGCCTAGAAATATCCGAAATGACGTGAGCTCGGATTTCAAACAAAGTATTTTGCATCTGCTGCAGACTAAACGAAATTAGCAATTTTTCGATATTTTTTTAAAAACACATTGAAAATTTTAACGAAGAAAATGCAACAAGTACGTACTAAATTAATGCTCCTGCCTAAAAAAGAAAATAAGCATAATTCAAATCGCAAATATTTGTATTGTCTGACACCGAGGAACAACAAATGATAGTAAATGGTACAAAGAAAGGCGACCCCTTTCACGTCAGGAAAACAGAACGCCTTCTCTCATTTTTTCAGACATCACAACAATCGTTCCAGTCAACCACGTGTCTGTTGCCATAGTAGACACCATTGTAACAGACTGTAAGTAAAACTGCAGATTATTTCGTGCAATGTTAAAAAATGCACTAGGGCAAGATTTTGTCGGAAACCAGAAGATGCAATAATTGACTGGGTCATGGCCTAGTCAAATCTAACACATATGTTTACATATGTAGACTTCGCAATGACGAGCACATTACCGGGTCAGGTGAAGTACTCGCGAACATTAGGCAATACTGAGTCATTTTACTGACCAAGGAACATGACACGCTTAATTGCATTTCAGCAACACTAAACGTGCTTCATGCAACTCCCCATAAGTCCATATTACCTAAGCTTGATGCCAGCTGTAAACTACTGGTTAAACTGCTAATGACGTCTTTCCCATAAACTCTGTCAAATTTAACCGAAGTGTCAACAACCATGTTCTCGCTTGACTCGTAAATGCCTTTTACTGCCTCTAATGACATAGCCACAAAATGTAACAGGAAGATTTCATATTCTCAATGAACGCATGAACTAAAAATTTCGCAACTGACGCCACTTGTTGTGTGCTTCATTTGAACAATAAGTCAGTGCAAATTCCGCTCCAAAAGCAGAGTTAAGTTGGACGTTACAGAGCAACATCACTTTTCTCACCTCAACTAACCTCTTATATTGCCACTAAATGGCCTCGATTTAGCTAACACCTTAAACCTACTTCATATGTGTTAAGGTTGTGTCTTAGGGCGAATAGGTTTTGAACACAACGAAGCATGTAGTTGCTACATTTTCACTGGAACCATTAGTGTGCTAACTGAAATGCCTAACCCAATCCAATCCGCCAAGTAAAAGTCGATTCATTTGAGGAAGAACTTACAGTGCCACTGTCGAACCTGGTAGGTAGTACAACTTGAACCTGTTGAAGACGGTTGAAATCCCGGAGGTACAATCGTCCAGGGGACCGACACCATTGGACGTGTCTCGGGGTAGGAGTTCCAGTGCAGAAAGTGTGGTCGGTCGATTGATACCCATGAATCGCCGGAATCCATGCTTTGAAAGTACTCTTTTCCACAGCTGGATGTGGCCAGCAGCACATTCTCCTTCGAAATGTACGATACCACCTGAGCTATGCGATTATCCAAATCTGAAATGAAGCAATTCATTCTGCTTATCAGAAGTTATTTTAGCCTAATTTAAAGCTAATGAATACAATTTGCAATGCTGTGACTAGGTCGCGATACTTCTCCCCAAATATAATACTGCCTTGAAATCCGTTCTGACAAAAGACATCTGTACAGGACGTTTAGCCATAGATAAAACTACTCTTTTGATGAGAATACCATTATGTCTACAATCAAAACTAAATACTTCACAAGCCTCATTTTGACAAGGATAAAAAGGTGTTCGAATGGGCAATTTTAACTAAGTGACCACAAATTTAAGAAAGAAGTGCAGACAAAGTGAGCGCCCTCGTTGTTGATGCTAGATGTTGCTTCAGTGAATGAATACATTAGTATATATGGCTATATTAGCTCCAATTCAGAGACATCGTGACGGTGAAATAGGACTTACAGCTCCATTTCCTTGGTGAGCTGTCGAAAGCGCGGAAGCAGGCGGAATGGGTTTGGTAGTCCACAGCCACATCCGGAACTTGATCACAGTAGATTATGAAATCGTTTCAGCAATGTAACTTCGAGTCGGCTCTGATGCTGCACGCTGTCCGTCCGTACAGCCCGATGTTTGCGTTTTGCCTGAAACTTGATAATTCCACAAAGCAGGCGATCTAACAAAACTGGCTTGTTTATCAGATAAAATGGTGGCATTTTCGGTGGTGTTGCATATTTGGTCATTGTGTTTTAATGTTGATTTTGGCAACGTTTCGCGCCATTCCTTTCTACCTTGTACAGTGTCAAACATACACATACCTTGGTTTTTAATGTAATATTTAGATTGGGAATTTCGGCAGCGTAAAAAGAACATGTTGCTTTAAATCAAGTATAACTTTCGAACAAATTCGGAAAAAAAATTGGTGCCATCAGGAAATGGGTCGTACAGATTTGCTCCTGTGACCAGCACAGATTTATCAGAATTATTGAGGTAACGACACGTGCCACAGCGAATTTGAACGCAATGCCCACTGTTCAGTTTTAAATGTTTGAGGACCTACCGAAATTCTGCGGTGGCCGTTTTCATCAAGGATGTTATGAGAATAAGGAAAGGTATGAGGGTACAAATATGTTGGGATTATTAGGGAATATTAACCACTGCTTTGGATGGTTTATTCCTCAAACTGATGCTGCTAACAAATTCACTTAGATGTGGCAGTTTGATGGAAATTCCACTCTCAGACGGATGGCATGTTTTCCTCAAGAACCGCAATTCTAATGCACCTTAAATTTGAAAAAAAAACAAATATCTCCACTCAAATGGTTTTCATTTGAGCAAGGAGTTGGTACGCACTACCTGCAGCGGCAACAAGTCGCACGGTCTGGCTGAAGTAGATTGGAGGACGGTGGATGGGTTCGTGGTTATTCGGCTTTTGGCTGTATGTATGGCACCGCAACATACCGCTCAGGTCAATGTTAACGTTCTTGGTTACCTTCACGCTTGGCAGAGGCCTAAGAACTAGTCTGATGACTGTACTCACACCGAAGTAAATGCCTCCCTGCGGAAACTATAAAAAAAACAAACGTTATTATTCTCTTGTTGTCTGCATGACAATTGCTGACAACACAATCCACTAGCACTTTCAAACTACTGCATAGTAATTACATACTGTCGAAATATGCAACAGTGGTACATGCAGTTTAAATCAACACTGAAATAACTACCATTACTGAGCTTAGCTCCTTGTTCTATTCTCTACTTCAACTTATTGTTTTCCAGCTAGAGATGTATTTACACATAATACGTGCGTCATTGCCTGCCACTGAAGCAATTATACGGGCATTCCACACTGGTCCAACGTCTGCGTTAACACCCATTTGTATTCTGGCATAACTAGCTTACAGCCCCCACAATGTCATTAACAAAGAATAAGCTGTACTGAGCGATACCTTATTATTCAGGGTCAGCGAAATGCCTCAGTACCTACTTACAAAATACCTCTAGAGCAAAGTTCCACACATACATGACATCACAACACATTCATACAGCGGATTTGTAAGCACCCAGTGCAAATTTCTTGACAAATGTACTTTTGTGCTCCGTCATAAAGCTGCATTTTGATGGTTATTAAAATGGATCCTTTCTGCCAACTTATTGCAGAGTAGCTGTTACGTCCCTTTATTGGCTCTATAATTTAGGTGGTATTTGTGCACATGAGTGCGGTCGGCTTTTAGTGAGCTTTTTACTAGACAAAGATATCTTCAATAAACAAACTGCAAGGCAATCTACCTTCCAGTCTTCACGATTATCAGCTTATTGCCACTACGTAGTGCTGTCAACAGATGACTTCACTGGCTACACCGCTACAGTGCTTGAGCAAATTTAGTTGATCCACTTCCCAAATCTCTTCTGTCATGAGACCCAACCCAAAGCTTATACCATCAACTGACATCTCGGCGCTAGCTTGGCTCTCTCCGCCCTCGACTCTCATTTGGTCCAATTCGATTCAAAAGCTACGATGACAAGTTACTTCGCTAATATGGCAATCTAAAGCAATTTAATCAGCATCGGTTATATGCCTAGGGAAGGAAAACCCAGGTTAGTGTCTTTAAGTTTAAAGTTGACAACTATGTAAATAACTGGCTTGTTAAATCTTATTGCTTGACTCACCTCAAGCATCCTGACGCCTCTTCCGTTAGACACCGGGACGAGGATCAATCCGTCATCATTTGGATCCGCTGGCACCACATTGACGGTAAAAGCACCGCCATGCAAGAGCCAAAACGAAGCCTTGTGACACTCGAGTGTTGATTGTCTTGATAAATTTGCTTGTACATCCACCACATATTCACCCCTTTAAAGCCAAGAAAACAAGGCAAAGTTAATCTAATTAGTGATGGCATGGTAAATTAATTGATTCAATTCTTTAAAACGTTGTAGAATACGTACCGGGTACACAAACTACTGGTGCTCAGTGGCAGCAATATTATTTGACAACAGTTGCTATCATTGTGTTGGGGACAAATCAGTGGCCACACCAAAACTAACGAAACGTCACTACCAGAAACTGTCATTCAATAAGTTTCATTTCCATGCAATCACATACGCTCTTTTAACGGCAATTTGGGCAGGTAGTTGGGCTCGGTATACATCGACTGCTATTAGAAGTACGTTATTAAGGGCTTTGGGCAAATTGGCAACAACTCAGGCGGTAGAGGGCGGTCACACAAACGTGCACTTCAAGGATAATTCGCACAGGCCGTGGAGTGTCGATAAGTCTAAGGCATCTTGAGTAGATAAGTCAAGAGGTAGGTAGAAGTTAACATGACAACCTACACATTCACTGTGGGATGGCCGACCAATTTCAGGTTCACGTGGAGAAAGGAGTCGAGTGGCACTCTCGCTACGACGACGACTCGATCAATTAAAATAAGCTTGTTGTTGACCTTGCTTTTCACGACAACGGCATGTCTGCTTCCGTCGTTAACTCCTTTGGCGTCTGTCAGCTGAACCTCCACTGATAAGGCAATACAGTCAGCATCCTCTTCTGGCTTCCGT